AGGAGTATTTGGGCCAAATTTGAAAGATTACACTATGCAACAAAATTTTTGCTCCTGGCTTCTAAGTGTTATATTTCAATTGCTTATGTCTAAAGTATGTGAAATAATGACTTCATTAAGCATAAACTTTGCATACACAACAAGAGTACAAAGAAATCGCTCACAAATGTAATCCATCATCATTTTTTCGTTACACTGTCCTTGGTAACGACGTTCAAATTCCAATAATATATCTTGATGAAAGCGCTCGCCTTGCTCCTCGGAATAAGCGCCCATGTTCTCATTGAATTTGTCGAGATGCGAATCAAGGATATGAACTTTAAAAGACATTCGGCATCCCATTTTAGCGTAATTTTTTATGAGAGTCTGCACCAACTCTACTTAGTTTTTAGCTTTGTAATAGGAAGCCCTGAAAAACTGCAACAAAACTGCTCCTAGCCGCTCTCTCCGTCCTGTTCAACAACTTTGCAAAATCCTCACATTCTATGATCTTCTTGATTTGTGCTTAACTTGATGTGCAGCAGTAGCGTAAGCAATTTATGAGTTATAACAAAGTTCCAATATTTTAGTTTTGATATTGATATGCAAATTCTTGGAATAGAAAACTTCATAGCTCGCTATTCTCCTCTGTACAAACATGTAGCATAGCACATAATAATACATAAGACTTTTACAGACTGTCTTTATGAATCGTCCGTACAGGTAGCAGAATAAATTAGCTGGATGCAAACAACCTCTTAATGCTTTATCAAATATATAACTTCTCTTCAAATACTAATTGTTATCCTTTCAGTCTACGATAATACGAATTGGAATTTCGGTTCGAGAAAAATGTAAAATAGGAAAGGAACATGCTGCTCCGACAACCTTTTGTGGATTTATGAATTTACCTCCACCAATGCATAAAAAAAATATTTCAAGATGTTAAAAGAAACATTAATTGTTTACTCTAAACTTTATGAATAAAGCAGCTACTGAGATTAAACGAGGTCTTGGTGAGAACAAGAAAAAAGTTACAGTTTCATGTTGTAGTACCTGATAAAAGCGAGAATTTACTTCTTTGAATGTTGTCGTAACTATAATTTCTAGTGAGATTGGAATAGTGACATTGTATTGACTAACGCATTCCATTTAATGAATCATTAAATGGAATTATTTGGCAAAGATGTCTAAAGGACATTTTTGTTCGAGGAGACATTTTAAAAATCAGTGTCTCATTTGCAATCATAAATTTTAATGAGAGATTAAGTAGAGTGTTTTTTGATATGTTAAATATGTATAATGGAAAATTTACAAAATTTTTTTGCGCAAACAAAGATTGTGCGAAAGTTGCTCGTGAATCACAAGTCTACTCCAAAAGTCAAGCTTAAATAAAAAAAAAAAACAATAATAAAAAACCCCAGTGTAAAGGACTTGCAGAAGAAACCGAAGATTAGTCTTTGAAGAAACCGAAAGATTAGTATTTGAAACTGGTCTTTTTTTGAATGTTTTTTGTACATTGTTATATCTACCATTTGACAATTACTAATTAACTGGTTTGGGTATTTTTTATTTTTAAGTGGTTTATATAATTTTAAGTCATAAAAAAACGTTTGTAAAGCTTTGAAATTTGTTTGTAAAGATTTGAAACAGTCTGTTTTGTAAAAATAATGTTTTCTTAATGCAATTTGTGAATAATTGGTTTTTATTTTTTCTTTCTGTTTTTCTCAAGATGTGATTTTTGGGAACGGTGCAATAAATAACTTTTAATAAATAAGTGCTATAGACCTGAAATTTGGTACACTGATTCTATTATATATAATCTATTGGCTGAATTAACACTTTTATTTTTACTTTTTGGGTACTTTAGGAAATTGGGCTCAAAATCTGTATTTTGGGTCAAAATTTTGCTGCCATTTTGGATTATCATTTAAACAAAAACTTTTCAATAAACTTTTTTTCTTTTAATTCAGCAAATTTAATCTTCTTATTAGATGATGCTCAAAAATATCCAGCTTTGTTTCTCTAACCGTTTTTGAGTTATTTATCGCAGCGTAGATGCCCTTTTTTTGGTTCCGCGAACCAAAAAACAATGTTTTAAAACCAAATTTGAAAATTTAAATAAAAATTCCATATTTTTATAAGGTTTTTTATATTGTTACCAGGTAGGGGAGAGTGCGTATGAAAGAGCCAGGTTTTGAAAGAGCCGATGCTATTATATCTCACTTACTAGCACCCAACCATAATTGTATTTTACTTTTTGCGTGGCAACGCTGGATACCTGTCACCCACAAAAAATTTAGAGTTTTACTAAAATAAATAGCGTCGTAAGGGTGTACTAAAAATTTTGAAAACAAAAAGTAATTTTTTTGGGGTTTACTTATTTCATTTTAAGGTTTTATTATTTGATAAAACATATATGCTGCATTGTTATATATATATATATATATATATATATATATATATATATATATATATATATATATATATATATATATATATATATATATATATATATATATGTGTGTGTGTGTCCTTCTTTTCCACAAATAATATTAGATTATAGTTTAGGTAAAAAATATTTAATTTCAGTTTATTTTTTTTACTAAACAATTTTTTGAAAGAGCCACTTTTTTATGCTATGAAAAAGCCAGCCTTTTCTAATTTTTTTTTTTTAATTTAATAACTGTTTTGCGTATTAACGCCTTAATTGTTTTTCGTAATACTTTATTGATCATATTCTAATGAAATTAATTGTTTGAATGACTTTTCCTGAAGTCGTAAAACGTAGGCGCGTTTGAATCTTAAAAAATATATTGCTGAAATAATTCTTTTTTTAATAATTAGATATTATTTTTGTTTCAAACTTTCACGCTTTTTGTATTATTGTATTTACTCATATGTCACTAGCATAGTTAATATATGTGAAATGCCTTATAATCACTATGATTCATAGATAACATTTATCGTCAAGATGTAGTCAAAACAATTTGTTCTTTTGACTAGTGTATATAAATTTTTTTTTATAAACGTTTGACGAGTGTATTTTAACGCTTTTGTTTTTTCATTCTCATTTAATATTTTTTATCTTTAAAAAAAAACATATCTTCACAAGTATTAACTACGAAAAGCGACGTATTTTTTTAATAATTTAGTGAAACTATTATTAAGGCTGTTTTATCATTGATTATCATAGATTTATATAACTTAAAGTACAATTTGATTTTTATTTAAAAACTTTGGCATATAAAATTCGCCGAATGGTCACACACGAGCAGTGAACGCCTGAGGGAAGAAATGAAGTACATTAGAATAAAGGAGAATTATTTATTAGACAAAGCATTTTTGACAGTTGTCAAGACAAAAATAAAGATTAATAGAGGAATATTTAAAAATAAATAAGACAAGCTATACAACCAAAACAGTACTCAACCATAATAACAATAAAAAAAAAAAAAAAAAAATATATATATATAAAAAAAAAAAATAAAAAAAAAAAATAAAAACAAATAATAATAAAATATATATATATATATATAAATAAATAAAAAAAAATTGTTTTATAATTACCAATATGAACTAAAATATACAAGAAGTACATAACCAGTCAAAAATTTGTAAAACAAAAAACTATTCAACAAATTAAAAATATGCTAACGACAATGAAAGGACTAATAATGGAAAAAAAACATTAATGCTAATGTGTAAACATAATTAGTGTAGTGATAAGTAATAAACATCTCCTCAGAGTCGCGTCTATTATCAAAACAATTTGTTCTTTTGACTAGTGTATATAAATTTTTTTTATAAACGTTTGACGAGTGTATTTTAACGCTTTTGTTTTTTCATTCTCATTTAATATTTTTTATCTTTAAAAAAAAACGTATCTTCACAAGTATTAACTACGAAAAGCGACGTATTTTTTTAATAATTTAGTGAAACTATTATTAAGGCTGTTTTATCATTGATTATCATAGAATTATATAACTTAAAGTACAATCTGATTTTAAGAAGTCTAGTTAACAGATTACTGCTCTTAAAAGACTTGTTAGTTTTAGAAAAAACGTTACGATTCATAACACAGAGTGGCTCTTTCATTGACAAGATGTTATGAAAGAGCTGATTTCTCTCTTTTTTTAAAATAGGTATATGATAGATTATTAGCATTGTTTTGCAATTTATTTTAATTTTATAATATTACCCAATAACTTAATTATTTAAAGAAAAAATTTGTTTTTTAAATTAATCAAAATGGACTTTTTTTCATCCTTTTTTAAAACTGGCTCTTTCATACACACTCTCCCCAACTGAGTTTTTTGTTAAATAATTCTAGAATTTAGTTTTCAAGGTAGACTACCACCTTAAGTTTAATGAAAGATTTAGGTTTTTTCTATAGGAATCACCTTAACAACAAGTCTTATAGATGTTTTATGGATGATAAAGTTGAATCAACCAAATAATCCAGGATTAGGAATTGTCTGAGAAAAGCGGATGTCAAGATTGTACAAAAAAAAAAGCTTTAATTGCACAAAAAAATACTAATTATCAGTTAATTGACTTTTTTTGCTCCCCTACTTCTACACTAATTACCAGACTTTTTTTTAGCTAACGCTTTTAAACAACTTTCTTTTAAATCAGAAATTTATTTATGTTTCTTATAATTCTCTTATCTCCATCACTAACATAAAATCTCCTTGATTTTTCCTATATTTATATTCAAATAAAATAAAAATTTAATTTTTGTTTAGAATATGTAATGAAATTGTTAAACAAAAGGGTTTGTTTATTTACATAACGCAAAGGTTAAAAATAGTGCATGCACTAAAGAAGCAAAACGATTTTGAGAAAAACCCATTTTGAGAAAAACAAGACTTAAAATCTTAGCTACACCTGCCTACACCTCCTAAACGTAATATCATAATGTTTTTATCAACTTTTTGCTTCTATGTATAAAATAAGGCATAATTTTTAAACTTTAAAAGATTATTGTGTGGAATTTAAAATTTATCGAATAACATAACTTTCGAATAATACTAATATGGTATTAACTTAAAACAAAAAAATACAATGTTGTACCCAAACATTAAAATATATAATAGGTCAAAAAAATGTTAAAACTTTTTGTTAAACTTCATGCAAAACAACTGTGGTTTAAATTAATTGCAATTTTAGGGTTGTGCTATTGTTTTGGGTTTAATAATATACCTTTGGAATTTGAAACACATGTCCTGTATTCTGCTCAAAAACTTTCAAAACTAAACATTGACAACAATTGAAAACAATGACAACAATTTTATTATTTATATAATTGTGACTTAATATTGTTCGAGAGTTTATTTAAGAAAATTATATTTAAAATTCAAAAAAATTAATTTTACAAAAATTATATAATTAAAAAAAAATTGGCGGAGCTATTCAATTTTGACTGCAAATTTATATGGAACGGTTTATCTAAATTTCATAAACTTACCAAGTAAAAACATATATTTGTAATGTATATATAAAACTGAAAAATTAAATATGTAAATTAAATAGTTAGAGTATGTACATAATATTTAACATTTTATTACAAAATTGTAAAAAAATAACGCCAGCGTCAAGAAAATAAACATCAAAACAAAATTGACAATAAAGGTTCGTAATAATAAATTTATTTCGTGTTAAGATGGTAACGCTTTGCGTTTGACCATGGTGCGACAAATACGGTCTTTTTCCTCAACTAACATCGCACGACGACGAAACACGGGACTTTGATTTGTATACAATTCATCCTCTAGCAGCATTAAACCATTCTCATTACCTTCACTCAAAACTTTATCTATTTTTTTGTTCATTAGTGTTGGGAGAGAATTAGAGTAACCAGCTATACAAACAGAATCCGATGGATTTGGGTTTGGAAATAATAATCTTATTTGCTGAAAAGACATTGAACTACTAACTGAAGAATTGCTACTAATGGAATGGTTTTTTGTGCGAGAATCTTCTGAAAATTTTCTGCGTATGCTGTTAAGAAGTTCTTTTTTAGAACGTTTACGAGCACAAAATCCAGTGATTCGTAAGCTTTCTACATCGTCCTAAATATATGTGTGTATATATATATATATATATATATATATATATATATATATATATATATATATATATATATATATATATATATATATATATATATATATATATATATATATATATATTCAATAAAATGTTTTTTATTATGCTTTATTATTATTATACAAAATTTGTTCTGAATCTTACAGCAGGAGTGAGGAAAGAAACAGTTAAGATAAAATATCTTATTATATAGGAAACCATCATCTAATGCATTTTAGAACCTAACAGAACATTGTTTCCTTCTCTCATGCTATTGGTCAAAATTAACTGTAAGGTACGAAAACAGCACTTATTCTGATTGAAACTGCTATAACCCTTGGTTTTGTTCTAAATATTCTTACTATCAACAAAAAGATCAGATTAACTTCTAAAATTAGTGTAAATCATCTTCCAATTCTCTATTTATTATAATTCCTAGGTATTAGTCAAAATGGGTTCCCATTTCGACTAATACCTAGGTATTCTGGAACCGAAAAAATACCTAGGTATTCTGAAACCGGAAAAACCCCAGCTATGTTTGATGCTCTAAAAAAATGATGAGTTTCAGACACATGAGGGTCAGTGTGCTTGGCGCAACAGCAGCTAGCTAAATTTTTTCTTAGCTAGCACAAGATACAGAGCTTTCATAGATTTGCAGACCAATATAAAAGATAACAGAATACATTTTCATTATAGGAGTCGACTATACTGTAAGCTAATATTATTTGGAAAGTTATACTGTAACCAAGTTAATATTATATAGAAGGTTATACTGTAACCAGGCTAATATTATTTACAAAACTATACTGTAACCATGCTAATATTATTTGAAAAGCTTTACTGTAACCATGCTGATAATATTTGGTAAGCCATAAAAGGATTAAGCACAAAAAAATAAGAACAATGAAAGCTTATAAACTTGCATAGAAATAATACAATTGACAGTAACTAACACCTAGTAAAAAGTCACAAAAAGCAACACTAAAAATTACAAGAATCTTTTCTACTTATAACCTGCAGTTTTTTGATTCGTTTTTTCATACTATACAAATTTTTTATTAATAATAACTAACTTTGTTTAAACATTACGTATACTCTGCATATTTTTCTTATTAACTAACTCTGCTTAAAAAGTACGTATACAATTTTTTTTTTACTTTGTGAGGGTTTCAAACAAACCTATATCTTAATATTAAACAATTGTTGAAATAAAACATAAAAAATAAATGTTGAATACAATTTTTTTTAATACCCGTTGAAAAAGGTGAAATAAGGCTATATGTATACCGTGATTTTTAAAATTATTAAAAATAAAAATTAAAAAAGACTAATAAATAACCACAACTAAACCACAACTAAAAGTATGGCCTTGAGAAGGTGTAATAAAATTAAAAAAAAAAAAAAACACCTCCAGGCCATTGAACACAAGTAAATGAATTTTTCTTTAAAAGATCTGCAATGACCTGACAATTCAAAAAAACATCTATTTCTGTTTTGTTACAATTCTGCATTTTTTCCTTTAGTACTTAATATAGGTATATTTGTTTCATCTATCATCCATTCAGAAGTTAAAAACAATTGTTAAGTTTATAGGAAGTTTCAAGTTTTCATCAATATTCTGCTTTTATTTTCAACGCAATTAATGGATTTGTTGACAATAAGTGAATATATTCAATAAACTTATAAGTATTTTCGGTTTCTCATTTTTCAAGAATAAGTTAAACTTTCATGCACTATATGCATTAGTCAAACTTCAGATTTAAACTTAAAATTTCAAGTTTACTTCTTGCATTGAAAAAAGCTGTTTGAAAACATCTACTATAGCGTGTTTATGTGATAAATTGTTACCCTTTTTTTGATACATTATTTATACGGTGTTTATACAAAGAATAATGAAAGAAAAGATTGCTGCCCCATGCCAAACCCTCAGTTGATGTAGCAGCAGGCTATTTTAGTGTGACATCAGAGTGCTTATCTAAACATGCATTCATATATATATAAAAATATATATTTTTATATATACCACATCTTTTGCAATTTTTTTTTTGCTCTACAAAATCTATCCATCAATTAAATATTACAGCTTGATGTTTGTCAGTATAATATATTATATTCATAGAAAATAAATCTTGAGTTTTTTAAGTGCTATTTTTTTAGTATCTATTTCCTTCTACTTTCTATACAAAAACATATACGCACAAGCAAAATATGTATACCGTGATTTTTTGAGTTTCAGTGCTTTTTGTAGAACTTTCTGTCAACTCAACAACTTCCTAGAGAGAAAAGAAAAGAGGGATAATAAAACTTAACTAAATAAAAACGATTAAAATTGTAAAACCAAATAAAACTTTATAAAGACAAATGAACTAGTATATTTATTGTGATCCCAAAACTAAACAACATAAGCATAACATCAAACTATATTTTATATAGCCTTATATCCAACTTTAAATAATAACAATGGGAAAAAATAAAAGTAAAACAAGCTTTGTTTATTTTATAAATTATTTAAAATAACCTCTTTGTCTTCATTCTTGGTTTCAAATGCAGAACACTGGTTGCTTTTAGACTCTAACTTTAGCAAATTTTTTGCTTCGTTAAGTTCTTTGACGGTTTGTTGTAAAGTATTTTTAACTGAATCTAATTCATTTGCAACTTTTCTATAACAAAGTTTTACAAAGATATAAAATAATTTTTAAAAGTTAAATAATAACAACATTAATAATATATACTTATATATATACATATATATACATATATATATATATACATATATATATATATATATATATATATATATATATATATATATATATATATATATATATATATATATATATATATATATATATATATATATATATATATATATATATATATATATATACACACATATATATAACCCTACCCTAGGAATTAAGAAAATTGCAGTCGGCAATAATTTGTCAACCTTAACAATTAAGAGGTAAGCAGCAGGTCAGCAAAAAAAAAAATGATACAAAGGTCTTCCATAAAACTAGAAACGAGGTCAGCAATTTTTTACTGACCTAAAAAAACACTTTTAGGTCGCAGTTAGGACAGCATTGCCAAATGCCAACCCTTATTCCGAGGGTTGTATATAAATATAAATGTATATATATATATATATATATATATATATATATATATATATATATATATATATATATATATATATATATATATATATATATATATATATACACACAATAACGTTCAAAAGTTTGCAGACAGGCAAAAAAATAAGGAATTTTACTTATTATATATCAGCACATACTTCACTAAAAGCCAACATATTATATACCAATCAAATAGTTTTTAAGTTTACAACCATGTTTTGAACAAATAATGATTATCTAATTAACATTTTAAAATTGGTATACAAATCAACGATTTTTGATAAGTTCAAAAATTTGCAGACAACGCGTTTTTTTTTCAACAAATTTTTCAACAATATTTGATCACAAATTTATGTAAAAGCAAAATCGCATTAGTATTTTGTAGGATATCCTTTACAATCGAAATTGGCTTGGCATCTATGAGGCTTAGAGAATTGGAATTGAGTCCCATAAATCTTTGATTTTATTAAATAAATCAGCATGATTTGTAGACTTGATTCCTTTTATTTGACGGTCAACATGTTCCTATAGATGTTTAATTAGATTTATTAAGTCATGTGATAGGTATTGTCACTTCAAAACAAAAATTTTATTCTTTTTAAGAATAGAAACGTCTCATTTGTAGGTTTATATTACAGTCAAACAAGGATTTTCTTTGCTTAGTATCACAAACTTTTTATCTTGATAATGCATTGTTTTGCGTGGCTTTCCTGATTGATTTTTATTCTTTGTAGATCTAGTAAGCTTATATCTCTTCATAATTTGTCTTACAGCAGGCTTACCGACTCCATAAAGCTGTACTGTTTTACGAAACGAATTTCCATTTTGAACTGATCTCAAGATCAATTTTTTCACTGAAGATGAGACACATTTCTTAGATCCCACAATTTCAACCATTCATAAATAAAGTTTGTAAATTGTTTCCACAAAGTATTTGTTTATAAAATCAACAAATTCGCAATTTTGTAGGGAGAATGTTTAAAACTTTAGATTGTCCACAAATTTTTGAACTTATCAAAAATTTCTACTTAGATAGTTAATAGTAATTATTATTGTAATTATTATTACCACTATTAATGCTATACTGGATTGAATGCTAAAATATTTAAATCAACATAACAGACTTTACATAATTGTTTTGGTGCTACAACTGAATATTTTTTATGAATAGACACATAAGTTATATAACAACAGAAGTCATTGAAAAATTAAAGCAAAATATCTAATTGTCATTGATTTAATAAATAATAAGTTGAAAATATTGGAGAAACATTGTAATAAAAGACATGGATAAAATATTTCAATTCCTTTTTTTTGCTAATTTAATATATATTTTTAAACTTTGTTAGTGCAAATGCAATATCTTGATCTTCTTATTACTTTTGCGTAATAAACATTTTACAAAACAATAACATTTTTTCCCCATGTAATAAGCAATATTTTATTTTTTTTATGTTAAAAAAAAAAAAAGAAGTGATTATTGAGTTATATCTTGTAACATTATAATAATATATTCCCCTTTTGTAATTTTAAAACAATGGATCAAAATTTGTTATATCATCTTGAGTAAGATTAAAAAACAAAATTTGTTAATTAGAAGACTATAAATTTATTTGTTTAAACTATTAATACTTAAAATTTAATTGTTTAAAATAATACTAAAAGTAATACTAAAAATTATATATATACACACACACACACACACACACACACACACACACATATTTATATATAGATTGATGTTGTTTTATTGTACCAAGTTATGATACAAAGTCATTTGTTTGTTTGAGAGTGATCAATATTAGGTAAATTGTTTACAAAATAGATCAGTTTTAATATATAAAGAGTTTGATTATTTGAAAAAATACAACTTTGTAATGGAACTTACAGTTTCATGCCCTTCAGCAATCATCAGCAACATAGAGACAAGGTTAGCAAAAAATCACAGACCTCAAACAATTGAAAATCTGCAGTGAGGTCAGCGTTGCCAAATGCCGACCCTAATTTGGAGGGAAAGGAAATATGAATACTTAAAAAGTGATAGAGCTTAGATATTTTTTTGGATTCATTGTAAAATGTCTGTCAGTATTTTGCAACGAAATCAAAATCAAAAAAGAAACTATCCTTTTTAACTTATTTAATGGTAGAGAAGTACCTTATAAAAAATATAAAAATTTTTAGTTACTATTTCAAATTCATTTCATACTAAACTTATTCATAAAAAATCACAGTAATACAACAGGAAAAAAAAAATTTTGATTAATATTTAAAATAATTAAACAAAATTTTCTGATAGGTTGATTTTTTTTTCTTTTATTTAAAGAATGCATGCCCAAACCAGAACCTTTGATCGATGTATGTGGGCTTCACTGCGCCTATTCCTAAATCAGTCAATGTATGTGCACTCCACTTCGCCTATCCCTAAATCAGTTGATGTATGTACACTCACTGCGCCTATCCCTAAATTAGTGGATGTATGTACACTCACTGCGCCTATCCCTATATCAGTTGATGTATGTAAATAGTAAAAATCAATGTAATTTTCAATTTACAACAATAATAATAACTTTCATTAAAAAAAAGTTAAAAAACTTTAGAAAACATTTTTCTAAGTGAAGGACTCGATCCCGGATCACCGAGGAAGTTGAATCAATGAGATACCACAATGCTAAAGGTACAATGTAAAATTGCAATTCTTTTTAAATTTGTATAAAACTTTCAAAATCAACCAATAATATTTACAGCTGTGACTTATAATAAACCAATCAAACTTTATTACTGTGACTCTAAAATAGAAAATTAAAGCAACAGTACCTTTGCACTAGCCACAACATAAAGTAATATTAAATTTTTGGCTTAAAATTGTTGCCAAAATAAATAGTATAAAAATTGTTATAAATTTTGCGCTTAATAATACATTAACAATCATTTTTATAGTTTGCACCAACTTACCTCAGAGTAGGTTGGTGAACTTATTTTTTTTTTGGAAGATCCAGAAGGACCTAAAACTTTTTTATAATAAATACAACTTGAAAATTTCACTGAAATTCTCTACAAGAATACTCTTGAAAATTTACAAAAAAATAAGCTGTAAGAGCCACAGAGCTCAATGAGAAAAAACAGGTAACTAGCCATGATCTCCCCTATTTTTATCATTAAGCTTGCCTTGCAATTCTTTGTGATCAAATTTGATCAGCCAAAATTGATATTAGTTGATCAAAGCATCACTTTTGAACAGCCGTTATTTCCGGAACTGATATTATTAGTTAATTTATTTAGTGTTATTAAATTATTTATATTATTATTGCCACTTATATTATTGATATTATTATTACTGCTATTATCATTATATTTTATTAAATAACTTTTTTAATCTTTTTTTAATTATTATTTTATTATTTACATTATTGTTATATCAATTATAATATTATCTAAACTACTTTTTTTTTTTTAAATAAATACTATCTTGCAGGTATCACAGTGTAATTGTTTTCTTTTTTTATTAAATAAGAAACTAGTAACAAAAATCTATTTAATTAAAAACACCAAACAACATTATTTCAAACTGAAAACCTCAAACCTATAATTTTCTTCGAGAGTCTTATTGACATGAATCTGTTTCTGAAGTCCTTCATCAGCTTTTTTTTTCGAATCTGCAATAGCATTGTATAATATATCTTTTTCTTCCAATAATTTGTCGCAATTAAATTTTTGCGCAGCTTGTATATCTTGATACATTTTAACTTCTGCTTCCAGTCTTGAACTTTGTTCTTTTAAACACATGAAATTCCATTCTACTTCTAGAATTCATACAACTATAATCACTCCAAATGTAAATATACAAATATAGAACTATAAACATATAAGTATACAGATTTTTAAGATTTGAGTAAAAAGTTAATAAAAAAAAATTAATTTTCTTAATTATTAAAGGTGTAGAGAAATTTTGTTTGTTAATATAACTTGCGCTTTATTACAATTTCAACTTTTTAATTATAGTTAACTAATTTCCTAAGAATAAAGTTTTGAATGTAATTGATGATATTAATGTTTTAACTTGATACAAATATTATTGAATTGAAAGTCATCTGTAAAACACCTGCTGCTTTATTGATTTAACCAGTGATGGCTCTTCTATAGGGACCATAGGGACCCAGTCTAACTTACATCTGTTTAAAATGTTTGTTTATATAAATATGTAAATATTAGTGAAATCATTATTCTAAAATAATAGAGGTTTCTTAACAAATTTGTTAAAAATAATTTTTGATTTTTTAATATATTAAAATATTTTATAATATTTTAATTCATTATTTAATTTTTTTTATAGGTTTTTTATCGTTATTTTGTTTAATTAGTGACAGCCACTGGATTTTAAAGCAAAATTATATAAAAAAACTGAAAAAATATTTTTATAAATCAAGTTTATAAAAAAGTATATTGTAAAAATTTATCTACTCTTAGTTGACGAAAAGTTTTTTCTGCAAACTGTCATTTTAAATTGAACGCTAACAAAACAGACAAAAAAAAAGTTTAAAAACTTAAAAGATTTTCCTTTAAAAGTAGCCTGACATAACCAAAACCCTCAGTCAATATATGCACACTCCAATTCAGTTATCTATTAAAAAATTAGGGTTATGGCTCTGGGTATAAGGGTAAGAAATTACTTAAGAAAACATTCTTTGAATATTTTAGTTTTATATTAAAATATTACTTTTTATATTATATTAATTATTCAAAGAATATTTTATATTAAGAAAATATTCTTTGAATAATTTCTTAGTAATATTTTATTATAACAGTTTTTCATTAAAAAATTAATTTATTTTTAGAATATTGTTGTTTTGCTTGACTTCTTTTTCCTTCATATTGTTTAATATTAAATTGCTTGCTATATATATATATATATATATATATATATATATATATATATATATATATATATATATATATATATATATATATATATATATATATATATATATATATATATATATATATATATGTTTGTAAATTTAACAATTTACTAATTTAATGTTCCTAATCATAATCAATATATAAAACTGTTCAAACATTTGATAGATTTACTTAAAATAAAATAAAAAATTCTACCTTAAATTATGAGGTTGCATAATTTAAGGTAGAAATTAAAAGTTTAAAAGATTTTTTTGCATAAACATCTACAGTTTTTTTATTTTGAGTCATGTCAAATTTTTACTTTATAATTAAAAAGCAACTTGATAAAAAATAAAAAAAGCAACTTGATGTTTTGATAAGTACTTGTTTTAATGTTATTTATGTTTTTATTATGTTTTTATAATATTTTTTTAAATTTAGTGTCTCCTTTCTTTTGTAATTAACCTACTGCCCTCCCATCTCATATAAGCCATGTGCAGACCCCCTCTCCCCCTCCTCCCAAGCAAACATACTTTATGGACGATCTTTAAGGTGTTATTGAATACTGACTTTTATCAAGTTATTACCAATTTAAGAGATATTATAAGAATGAGTAAAAAAATGATAATATAATACGAAAAAACATGGAATTAAAATTAGACATAAAAACTCTATAGATTTCCTTGAGCATAATGATTCAACAATTTTTATTTCTATCCAAATGCATTAAATCAAAATGAAAATTGATTGTAGTAAAAAAATATAATCTTTTTGTGCTATGAAAAGTTGTTAAACTAGCACCACTTCTTCTTGCATTATTTTTTTTTGCAACACTTCTTTCTCACACCCTTCTTTCTCGCACCACTTCTTCTTGCATCAGTTCTTTTTCGTACCACCTCTTTTGTACCAGTTGAAACCTCAGTTTTTATTTAGTAACTGTTGTTACTAAATTGAGTAAAAACCTCAAAATACAAACCTCATAACAACTGAAGAAATTAAAAAATTTTTACTGCAGTTTTATGTATTTTTAGAAATACATAAAATTGTAATTAAATTGTTTTTAATGCAAGGTAAAAGATAAATGGATGGCAAACACAAATATCAATGACTTTTGTTAAGCTGTTGCAGAAATAACAGTTATATATTAGAACCTAAAACTCATGCTATATTTAAATATTATTAATTTTAATAATTTTTAAATGACTGATGTTGATACTGTAATTGACTGTATCTATATGTGACTATAAATTATCCTTTAGAAAAAATTGTGTTTGATGGCCTAATCATAAACAATCTATATTTTAACTTGAATTTCATTTAGATTTTGATAAAAAGAAACTTCCCATGAGTAAAATAAATAATATGTATGAGTATAAAAAAATAATATTTTCTTTTGTGATATGTTTTTATAAATAGTTGAAATCGAAAAAAAAAAAAAATTTTTTTTAAGATTCAAGATTCGATTCACAAATATTTAGGTATTTGGTTCAATATTTGAATTTCTCATTTGCAAGGGCAAAAATGGTATACTTTAATGAAACTAGTGGAGTGCCTCAGGGATCTGTGCTAGACTTGTTGCAACTTTCTGTTAACTTTCATTAATAAATTTTTATTTCATTAATATAAAAACTAATTTTAAATTGAATAGTTTATGCGACACAATAAATGCATAAAAGTGACCAATTAAACTGTCCAATTACATAAACCTGAGAGATGTGATAATAAAAACAGATTGTTGATAGTGTCTTTGAATAAAAAATCATATAAAATGAGCGATAAGACTTTTGTGAAGTAGAAAAAAAAAGTATAGATGTTCAGGGGCAGGGAGAAACACAACTAACACTCTAGTCACTCTGTGCGTAGATCATATGAAACAAAGAACAAATATTTGATTTACTGATATGTCATGCAAGTCAATATTGTAATATAATAGTACTACCCTACCAAAGTCAAAGGTCCCTAACCCTATCCCAATTTTTAATACAGCTCCAACATTCTTTGAAATCTTGTGAAAATGGTGAGGGTGTGTGGGTGTGGTTATGAATAAATATATTAATACCAAGACATATAAACATCATCTACACTTATACAAGAAGAGACAATTGTATACATATGCACATATGCTCATATATTAAAATAAATTGCAATGTATAAAAATAACACAAAGCAAATAGAAAACAGTAATTAATAATAAAAAGTAACATAGCATTTCTTTTATGGTCTTTAAGACCATAAAAGAAATGGTAACATTCTTTTCTAACCCCAGTTATCAACCCCTACTAAATCTTATAATTTTGCCAGGACCAGGGCTGGATTTGCAAAAAGTCTCATTTTTAGCTGGGGCCAGGGCCCCATTCACATACTATGGTCTTATAAATATAATAAGTAAATACCATTCATAAACATCAAAACTTAGATAAGATGGTTTGTGGTTAGAACGAAAGTAGTTAGTAGAAAATATGGTAGTGAATCTGGTAAATCTGATAGTTTAAGAAATATAAATCTTAACTGATAAGTGGAAACAATTGCTTTCATGCAAAACAGACTCAGAGTAATTAAAAAATGATTAGCAAGAGATAAAAAATTAAATTAGCAGAGATTATGAGTAATTTGATCAGAAATACAACTAATAGCTTATAACCACTGAAAAATGTCAAGTAGAAAACAATATTGTTGAAAAAACAACCAAAAGAACGTTAATAAAGGCTGTATAGTGTAAACCACAACAAACTTACTTGGCGAGGTTAGATCAGCAAATTTAAATATAATCAAAAAATCTAACGAGATCACCTTCAAATGAGCAAAATACAACAGCAATTAAAGATCTTAGTATAGTTGATAGTTTTGTCTAAACTTATCTAGTAGAATAGTTAGATTCCAACAAATAATATATTTTTTGTTAAAATATGTTACATATTATGTAGATAATATGCTATATAGATCGTCTATATATTAGTGTTATTCTTGTCATGTTTGCTATCCAGTCTAATAAATACAACAGAGGCCTAGTGCCAGGTGTGAGTAATTTTTAGCACTTTTTGCGTATATATGATCTGTTTTTTTTTCTTGTCTTGCCTGGCATTACAGGATTGTTTTGCTCTCATTTATCTATTACCCCTTATTGTATTGAGTTTTGAGTATTACCATTGTGTATTTTAATTGGGTGGCTTTTTAGTTTAGAATTATCTTAGTTAATTTCTAAAGAACATCTACAACTGCAAGGGTATATTATATGGTAGTTTATGTTTTTATTAGACCTAAATTGTGAATGCTTTGTATATAAAAACAACTATTATAAAAATATTATAAAAAGTAATTTTAAATTGAATAATAAATTGTTTCTTAATCTAATCAATAATAAACAAATGACAAAACATTTTTAATAAAAAAAAATTTAACAAATAAATAATAAAAACTGTTATTTTTTGTAACAATAATAACAATTTATAATTATCTAAAGAAACTGTAACAACAAACCTTTGCAGCGTGATTTACTTTGCTCATTTTCTAAAGTCATGCTCTTAATATTACAATTTATTTGTCCGATATAGTCTTTTAAATCTAAATTTTCTTTCAAAACCATTTTATAATTGGTGTTTAACATGTCGCTATATTTGACAAATTCATCAAACTCTCCCTTTAAGACTTCTAGTTCTTCTACATTTCTCCGAAATTTAAGTTGCATTTCTTTGATTTCCTCAGCAGAAGACGAACTTGCATTAAAGTTATGTTCACTGTATATTTTCATAATTTTTCGATGGACACTAAACTTTAACTTTATTTCATCAGCCTGAAAAATAATTTTTATGTTCTCTGTATATTTTCATAATTTTTCAATGGACTCTAAACTTTAACTTTATTTCATCAGCCTGAAAAATAATTTTTATGTTCACTGTATATTTTCATAATTTTTCGATGGACACTAAACTTTAACTTTATTTCATCAGCCTGAAAAATAATTTTTATGTTCACTGTATATTTTCATAATTTTTTGATGGACACTAAACTTTAACTTTATTTCATCCGCCTGAAAAATAATTTTTATGTTAACATTTTTTAAATATTAAAAGTATAGACCAAAATGGATATTAAGAAAATTTTATACTTACAAATTAAACTTTTGTTATTGTTTATTATTTTCAGGATTTATTGCTTGCAAAAAAATTAGTAAAAGGGTTAAGAACATTGTCTTTATTATTTATTGTTTGTAAATTTAATATTTTCAATTTCTACCATAGATAATTTAATAGGTTTATTATATCAAATAATTCTTTTTAATATATTATCGCAAAATTTGTTATAACTTATACACTATTAAAAAACATATTCGATATTCAAGCACTTATTATATTCAGAAGCTAATTATTACAAACCGTAAGGTTTGTAATGATTAGCTTCTGTACTTTTTTAATGATAGCCTCTGTACTCTTTTAATGATAGCTTCTGTACTCTTTTAATGATAGCCTCTGTACTCATTTTGCATTCAACTCTAATCTAAATATTTTTTTCAATGATTGAATTTTATTACATTGCAATAAAGTACTCAGGAAATTTTGTAGCAATTTCATTGTAATTATGGAATCAATTAAATTAAAAATTGCATTTATGTTTGCTTTGTTGTTTTTTTTTTAACGCATTTTTTAAAAGGGCTAATTGTCAAAACTTGCAAGGAGCTATGGCCAAGTTGTCAGAACAAAGTAATAATGCATGGTCATATAAGCAGGCCTTGGCGGGAAGCAAGTGTTTTAGCTCTTGTTCTCTCCCACACTCCCCTAAAACAGTTTACAGGAGCAATTTACAGCTCTCTACATGAAGGTTTGATGCTGTTAAACATATTAAGCTAAAATAGCCTAAATTTTATTCAAATTTTTCTTATTTCATTTAGTTATGGACAAATGTTATCAAGAAAAGAAAAAAAAAATCTAATAAAGAACTTTACCATTTTTTTTATTTTCTTATTTTCTTCTTTCAAACTTTTGCATAGATTATTTTTTTCATTTATTTCTTCTATTAAGTTAAGAAGCCTGAATTGTAAGTCAATTGTCATACTATCATGCCTTGCAAGTTTATCATAAAACTTAGTGCGAATTTCTTCCTCTAGTAATCTTGAAAGTAAAACATTGTTTTGCTCTGCAGATTTTGGTTTTTTTAGAAAGTTTACCTAAAAAATTATACCTAAAACATCATATTTTAAAATAATGATTTAAAAATTATTTATAAATGTAAAAAATCAAACTTAAAGTATTTGCTAGAAGATGCTTAAAAAAAAAATTATTATATAATAAATTTCTATATCAAATTTAATAAAAAAAAAAATAATAAAATAAAAAAAGATTAAAGCAATAAAAAAAACTCAAAGATTGTTTTCACAGACAAAGAATTAAATTTAAATATTGATAAAAATTAGATTTAAATGTTAAAGAATTGAATTTAAATATAAAACGTTCACATGAAAACATTGGATTAAAAACTGGAAATGTGCAAATATATATATACTTTTTAATGTTAATTCACCTCCTTAAGCCCATGAAGGCCATTACAGTCAGAGAGGCTATTTAAATTGTGGATTACAACCCTCTCTCAACTCTATAACTCCAAAACACAAACCTTGACAAACAAGGCTGCTGTGGGGAGAAACAAGTTAAGCGCGATAATACTGGGGAAGAGGTGAGGATCAAATTAGGAACATATATATATATATATATATATATATATATATATATATATATATATATATATATATATGAATATATATATATATATAATATATATATATATATATATATATATATACATGTATATATATATATATATTTATATATATATATATATATATATATATATATATATATATATATATATATATATATATATATATATATATATATATATATATTTTTTTTTTTTAATTTTAATTCACCTCCTCAAGGCCGAGAAGGCCACTACAGACGAGGAGGCTACTTATTTGTGGTTATAACCCTCTCTCAACTCTATAACTCCGAAACACGAACCTTGATGAACAAGGCCGCTGCGCGGAGAAACGAGTTGAGCGCGGTACTACCAGGGACGTGGTGGGGATCGAACTCGGAACCACTCGTTTATGAAGCGAGCGCTCTACCACTACACCACTACCGCATTATACATATATACATATATATACATGTATACATATATATATATATATATATGTATATATACATATATATACATATATATATATATATATATATATATATATATATATATATATATATATATATATACATATATATATATATATATATATATATATATATATATATATATATATATATATATATATATATATATATATATATATATATATATATGTAGAGTTCTATGGTCAGCTACGCAACGAGCGCAACATGTTTTTAAAAATTTAACTGACTCATTATATTATAATTTTTAATTTTTTTTTACATTTACACTCAAATTTTCTTTTTTTATTATTATTCACAAAAAAAAAAGGATAAGAAGACAATTTGAGTAAAACAGAAATAAAAGACAGCGGTCAGCTACGCAACGCGCAAAAAAGCTTGTTTTTTTAATTTAAAGTTTGAATTATTTTTTCTCCGAATCTATAATTTATTTTTTTATAAAAACGTTTTTTTCTTCAAAAACAATTATTTCATTGAAGTTATATTTATAAAAATTTTTTAATATAATATTAATTACACGTCAAATAAAAAGTTTTCAGAAAACTATGCGGTCAGCTACGCAACAATCAGCCACGCAACATGCGAATTTTTATTATAATTCAAATTAAAACCCAAAACAAATCTAAAACTATATTTATAGCTTGTATTTAGAAACAATAAAATTTATTTATAAAGTTTATAAAGATAATTTTACATTAAAAAAAACCTGGACCCCGGGGTGGAAAAGGGGGAGGGGGCTTTAGAAGCTTCAGTACTCTCACTTTTTTAAATAATGGGGCTAGGAGGTAGGTAATACAATTTCCTTTTAAATGTACTCTTGATATTTTTATCTGTTCACAACCTTATTATATAAACGTTTTTAACTCAAAGATGTATATAAATACATTCATTTTACTTGCATTTACTTTGGAACTTTGATCTTCAGAGCTTTAAAATCATCAAGTATTTGGACAATAATTGAACAACTAAAATAATTTAAAAAGCAACAACTAGAAGTTCTTTAAACGTGTAAGCTGTTGTTGTTGATCGAAATGTATTAGGGATAAACTGAATAAACCTTCCGAGCTTAGTTGCGCAAAAAAAGTCACCTCAAGAAAACTTGAAAAGTATTGAAAAAAATAAGTAAGACTTTCAATAGAATAACAATAACAGGTAAAAAAAAACGTTTAAAGAAATCATGCAGTCAGCTACGCAACAATCAGCTACGCAAAACAAAACAAATCTAATATTTATTTATGGCTTTTATTAAGAAATTTTTACAGCTTTTTAAGGCGATTTTTAAATTACTTGATCACTGCTAAATGTCTAGACGCTTCTATTCCTTTGATATTATGCAATATTTGGCGAAAGCTGCTCACCTACAACGTTACCGTCTAAAACCTGAAAGTAATGGCATTTATGCAATTCTGTAATTTTTTTTGTTTTCTTAAAAAAGGTGCTCAAACCAAGAGAGTTGTTTATCTCTAGCTTTTCTTTATCAGTCAGTAATATAACGGTAATTTTTAAATTGTTTGTTGCGGCTGCCAAATCGCTAGCACTAGAAATTATATATTTTTCAGTTAAAACATTTTTTCTGGCAACACGTTTTACAGTGGCTCCAATTCCATCCACAACTCCTTTTCCATGCATTGCAGCAAAAAAATGCCAGTGCATTTTAATTGAATGCTTTTTTTCTAAAATTTTCATTGATGCCAAAATATATTTATTTTTAAATTGTGATGTTGCGTTATCACTGAAAATATGAACTTCTGTAATATCTTCTGATAGAAGCTCGATAATTTTATTTATGTTTGGAACAACAGATAATTTTGTATGATCGCTTGAATCACAAACTACCGCAAAAGATTTAATTTGACGATGCCAAACTGCACATGTAAATATAGAAATGTGATTTTGACCGAAATGAGCTGCTTGCGTTTCGTTATGGTAAATACAAGTATAATTTTCTGCCCAGTCAACTTGAATAACAGCCTTATTTGAGTCTTTTTGAATCGCTGATTCTATATTAAATTTAAATACGGACGATTGACTGCTCTTGACATTACAATGAATAATAAACTTTGCACGCATTTCTTTAATATGTGATAATAAAACTGCAATTGTTCCTTCTTTTTTAACCTTTTCTATTTTAATATACAATTTTGCTTGAGGTTTCTGCCACTGATTCCATGAAACATCCAACTCAAATTGTTCGAACTGAAGTAATAATTTATCAAACATATTACAAACAGTACATTCTTTGCAAACGGCATTGAAGCATTGTTTTGTTGGTTTTTCACAAATAAAGTTTAGAATCATAGAGTTTCCCGTTTTAATTGTAGTGAATATATCCGAACCCCGCGAAAGTGATTCAAGAGCATAATGCATATTTTCATATAACATGCAAACGCACACGTTATGAGGAATTGATGATACACATCGAACGTAAATTGGTCTCAACTGACAAAATTTTGACAGGCTTAATTTAATATCTGCATTGTTTAGCTTAAACTCTTCGAAAGCTTCTTTTAGCGTATATAACATGTGTCGAAAGCTTCTTTTAGCGTATATAATTTGAACACGCACCTTTTTTTCTCCTATCACTACAGAAGTATAATCTGCTGTTCTTGGGGATATTCGACTTATTTCATCGTCGCAATAAAAATTTTGTATAACCACTAAGTCTTTTTCTCGGAGACTGTTTGTTGATTTAGGAATTGAGTAAGTTAATGGTTGAGTTTCATTGAGTAAACAACACAACAGTTCCTTTTTCTGAACAAGACTTTTGGGAAGAGAGCGATTCAATTTTTTTATATACTTTCCTTGCACATTTGCAAATGATGAGTGATTTGATTCGAGAGATAAAGATGCGTCTTTTTGCCGCAGTCGAAATTTTCTCATTCTTTCTAAACTTTTTAATCTTTCAGCTGCAATTTTTCGAAAATCTTTTTTCCATCTTTGTCTTCGAAGTCTAGCATTTTCTTTAGCTTTGAATTTCTTTTCTTCATGATTTCTACTCATGTAATTCTTTTGATTCATTGCTTTTCTATTTTTTATCTTTATGGCTGTAATAAAAAAAGTAAACATTTAAATAAATGTAAAAATTACTTAAAAACTCTATAAAAACACAATGCTCACCTTTTTTATTTTTATTGGATGCGCAAGCAACTGGTTCCTGCAGTGATTCCATATCTTTATATTGACTAAAAAGTCTTTTGGAGTTTTAAATAATTTCTAATTGACTATAAATGTTTTGAAGTTCAAAATAGTTTGGGCAAAACTATTTGTTGCATTTAAAAAAATTGACAAAATTTGCGACATTTAAATGTTTAGTTTTGGCAGTCAGCTACGCAACAGGAAGTTGAGTGGGTTTTTTTAACTATTTGATGCCAATTTTTTTTAATTATTGCAAAACCTTAATATGGCTAATTAGTTGACGTAAATAATCGACAAGGATTTAAAAAAAAAATTTAAATTGATGAAAAAAGACAACTTTTCCTTTCCAGCAGCCAGCTACGCATCATTATTGTGTAAGAAACTATTTTGCTTATATCGCGTGAAATAACTAAAAATTAAATGTTAGTGCTTTAACATATTAAACCAGCTTTGCAGCCGACCAATTTAAAACTAATTTGAAAAATTTTGGATCACTACAAGATTTTAAAAAAATAATAAAAGTTAAACACTTTTTCTTAAATGAAATTATACTTTTTCCGTTTACTTTAAAATCTATAAATAGCTTGTTCAATTTTTTTTTTTTCTTTATTTTTTTTTAACATTTAAGACTATATACTTATAGTAATGAAAAAAAAAATTCATTATTTTTATTTTTTAAAACGAGATTTGTTAATAACCGCGTGGTTATATATATAATATATATATATATATATATATATATATATATATATATATATATATATATATATATATATATATATATATATATATATTATATATATAACCACGCGGTTATTTATATATATATATATTATATATATAACCA